CTTTGAACACGCTATAAATAGCAAATGATTTCTTATTTTTCTTAAAACTGAAATTGTAGGGGCCAGGGAGATAGCTCAGTAGAATAAGCACTTGCCCGGCAAACATAAGGGCCTGAGTTCAATCCCCGGTTCCACAAAAAAAAAAAAAAAAAAACTGAAATTGTATTCAAGATCATATGCACACATCTGATATAGCCATAGCTACAAAAGTTGACATTTCCCAAGACCCTCCAACTTTTACTGTTCTACCGTTGCAATCCTGGGATTCTAATAAGCACATCTGAGCCCTGCAAGCCACTTTCTGCTGATTCAATTCATGCGAGAAGCAACCACTATATGCCTTTGAAGAAACAAGACACTGGTTTGCCCCTCGAGCTCAAAATTGAAAACTGTGAAGGACAAGAGTAAAATAACAAGTGGAAACCTGAATGTGTTCATGCCATCTAGTTAATGTAACTGACAAGAAAACAAACAAACACAGGAAGGAAAAAATAAGCAAAAACAATTTCAGTTATCACAAAAATGGCTTCACTCCAGCTATTAGTCAAATTAGTTATTACCAAATTTACTATACCTTAGTCCCTGGCCTATAATGTTCATATCTAGATAGATAGATAGATAGATAGACAGACAGACAGACAGACAGACAGATCTATTTTATATAGTCAAATAAATAAATGAAAGAAAAGGAAGGAAAAGGAAATCTAGCCATAAGCCTTATGAGATCTCTAAGTATGATGAGACAACTGGGGCCAAGGCAACATTTCTTGCCAAAACAAGCACAGAACTACAATTCTAGTCATTCTTCATATATACTGACTGTTGGAACAAATGATTATGCAATCATTATCCACAGTGACACACCTGGGCCCTGCCCAGGTCCCACTAAGTCTGAGTCACAAGATGATCATAACCTATAGTATTTATTTGAAGCAGCATTTTTACACATCTTGTGAAATCAACTTGCAAGTATGTTTTTCTTGTCAAGAGTCATTCACTTGTGACCATAATCCTATGATAAGAACTGACACTTGATTGACAAGTAGGGAGCTAGCCTTCCCCATTCTCTTATCTCCTGTTCATAGTCCTACAGGCAGGAGCGAGCCTAAGGCAGTACTTAGGAGACTGGATTCAAAGTGTGAAAGACCCCGGCTTGAATATTAGTGCTAACAGTTATTTTGTGACCATGGACACAATCCTTTCCTGTATGCAGGAGCTTCCTAATAGCATCTGCACCACACTAGCCCTAAAAGACTTATTGCTGGAAAAGTCCCCCACACAGTACCTGACACATTTCAAGTTACAACATATTCCAAGCCTTACTGTAAACATTTGACCTCATGGAAAAAAAGTTACCAAGTAAAAGAAGGAAGTTGACTGCTTTAGCTGAAACTTTTGTCTCATAAATAGCCCCTCCTTTAAAACCTGTTACACTAATTCTATTTCCAAGAAGTTCCTACTCTGAAATCTGAGAAACCATGTGCCAATCCCAGGTCACTTTCCTATCAGAGAAGTTGGAAATTCTCCTCTAGTATTAAATATATGCACAACAGCTTAATGAGGAAGTGACCATGCTCTAAGATTGCAGATTTACCACTAAAATAAAATAAATTGCCAGGCAGGGTGGTACGCACCTGTAATCTCAGCACAGGATTGCAAGGCGATTTTTGTTTGTTTTTATTTTTTGAGACAGGGTCTAGTTATGCAATTCAGGCTGGCCTTGAGCTCACTTTGTAGCTCAGGGTGGTCCCAAACTTGCAAAGATGCTCCTGCCTCACCCTCCCAAATGCTGGGATTGCACACATGTGGCACCACGCCCCATGAGGATTACAAACTGGGAAGCTAAGGCAGAAAGTTTGCAAGTTGAGCCCAGTCTGGGCAAGTTAGAGATTTAGCAAGTCTGTCTCAAAGTAAAAAAATAAAATAAAAATAGGCTGAAGATATAGCTTGGTGTGAAGACCCTGAGTTCAAATCCCAGTACTGGGGGGGGGAAGGTAGTAACTTTTAAAAAGTGCTATAGGTGGGCCGGGGAGATGGCTCAGTAGAATAAGCGCTTGCCTGGCAAGCACAAGGGCCTGAGTTCAATCCCTGGTTCTGCCAAAAAAAAGTGCTATAGGAAAGGTAAAGAGTTCTGCTTAACAGTTTGAGAAAAATTACTGAACATTTGATCCCTTAGAGGTAAAACATGGGGCTGGGGAGATGGCTCAGTGGAATAAGTGCTTCCCTGGAAAGTGCAAGGGCCCTAGTTCTAATCCCCATTTCTGCCCAAAAAAAAAAAAAAAAAAAGAGGTAAAACAGAATTTCAAGCAGATATGTAGGGATTGAGTTGGAGACATTTCCTGAAGATGAAAGAGCACAAATACAGCCTTGTCTCTTCATGACAGGAAGCTAATATTGCTAATCAAAAATCAGAGAAAAATGCTTGTAAGTTACTGCTGTTGTAAAAGTTAAATTTGCAAATTGACGGACTAAAGGTCAAGAAGTTAAATACCTTTTTCTTATTATAGTTCTTCTCCAATCTAGTTTTCCTGAGAAGGTAAGCAATTATTTTTGAGTCATAATTATAGTGTGGAACAATATTGCTGGAATAATTCCTGGATATCACCTTGTGATCGAAGCACTTATTCAGCAAATCTATTATCTACATTTTACAGGGAGTGGTTTCACAGTCTCTTTCCTTATAAGCAGAGGGAAAAATACCTTATTTAAACTTTCTTCAAGTTTTTTCTCTACCTCACACAAGGCTCATAAGTCTTTTTTTTTTTTTTTTTTTTTTGGTGGAACGGGGATTGAACTCAGGCCCTTGCGCTTGCCAGGGAAACGCTTATTCCACTGAGCCATCTCCCCAGCCCCTTGTAAATCTTTTATCAGTCTTTGAAGCATTATTACATAACTCTAATATTGATCAACTTTTATACATTATTCTTTAAGAAGGATGAGAATTTTTTCTGCATTTGTATCTCAGCTCTTTCACTGAGATTGCGCCCTACAGAGCAAAGTAAATGGAACCGAATTTCCAAAGGTATATTTTTCTCATATTATACACTGAAAAAATAACTGTGGCATTATGAAGTTGATCATTCTTCCTCTATCAATCCAGACAAGTGTCTTTCAGACAAAGGAACGTGAAGGATCAGGAGCAAGGTGTAATTGATGAAGACTGCTGGGCTACATGTATGCAATGATGAAGACTGAAAGGGAAGACAAGCATGTTCAGATTGGTAGCTAACAGGGCCAGGGATACAGTTCAGCAGCACAGCACCTGTCTGGCAAGTGAAATTCCTGGTAACCAAAAAAAGAAAGGGGAGCCTACAAAGCTTTTAAAGATTTTAGCCAAGTGTGGTGGCACATGCCTGTAACCCTGGCCCTCTGGAGTCTGAGGTAGGAGGATCACTCCAAGTTCACGACCAGCCTGGGTTACAAAGTGAGCTCAAGTCCAGCCTGACCTGCAAACCAAGACCCTGTCCCAAAGAGATCAAACAGAAAAAGAAAAAAAAAACCTAAAAAGATCGTATCCACTTACAAGGAAGCCAAAGGCTATACAAACTGAACACCACTTGCCATGCTTGGTTCGACATCCACAACTCTTTGTGAACTAATCTGTCATCACTTAAAAATTAGAACAATTGCTGCGGAGACAGCTCAGCGCCATTAAGTGGCTGCCTGACAAATGCAAGGTCCTGAGTATAATTCCCAGTACAAAAAAATTAATCTTAAAAAGATTTCTCTGAAAATTCTATGTACCATCAACTTTTCTTAAACAATGAGAAGGTCTGTCAGCCATGGGATTGCATTCTTCCTTAATAGCCATTGGCTGACCCCCTAGCGTGAAATGCTCCCCAGTCTGCTCACCCCCTGCTACCTGCCAGTCCCCTGCAGGAATTTGTGTGGGCGATTCTTGAATATGTTTTAAAGATCAATTCACATTTATTGACACTAGTCTTAATGGTCTTTCGTAAACTGGGAGCATGACAATAATAATTATACATTTTATTTATTAATCAAATCCAGTTAAGCAGACTGCCTTATGATACAGAATTCCTTTATAAACATATGAATATAAGACAAAAGAAACCTGCTCTTGGTGGTCAAAAAATAAACAATGCAAACCAGGTGTGGTAGCTCACCCATTATCCCAGCACCATGAAAGGTGAGGCAGGACTACAAATGTGAACCCAGACTGGAAAACTTAGTTGACACCCTGTCTCACCATAAAAATAAAATGTCTGGAAATGTAGCTCAGTTGGGAGGCCCTGGGTTCAATAAAAAGTATCTAAATATTTTTTATCTGATAGTACAGGCAAAATACTTTGAGATAAGGAAGTCAAATGAAATCTAAATAATCACTAACTAGGTCAGCCCTGGTGACACATGGCTATAATCCCAGCTATATTTTAGGGAGGGTGAGGCAGGAGGATTGCAAGTACCATGCCAGCCTGGGCAATTTATCAGTAAGACCATCTCAAACAGTTGGGGACACAGCTCCGCAGTAAAGTGCTTGCATAGTAAAGTGTTACCGCAAATCTCTTAGTTCACTCTCTAGGAACATAAAAAAAAGAATCACTCAACTGTTTACATTAACTTGCCAGGTTAGTAAAATGTCCCTTAAAAGAAAGCACAGGCTTTTACCAGGAAATGTTCATTTAAATGAATTTTAAATTATCTCCCTTAGTAAAGTAAAATTAGAAAAGGAAAACGTGAAAACAAAGCTTTGTAAATGGGGAGGGGCAGGAGGTTTCAAGGGTGGCCAGGCGAAGGAAAAAGTTCTATCATGTACAGGTACAAATACTTTATGATGAATGTGATTGTTATGCATATCTGAAATGTACCAATAAAATCTAACTGAACTAAAAAAATTATGTTCCTTAGTTCAAGGCTGGATCACTTTAAGAGCAAATCGCCTAAAAGCACAAAACTTATCAGCAGAGTTACTTAATTAGCACTGCTCTATGGTAAAACTCTGTCACACGGTAAATAAAAAAAACAGAATTTCCAGTTACGTTATGCTGGGAAACACAGAAAGGACGATATTTGCTATGGGTACAGTATCGGAACTAAAATTTCGAATCTTCGAAATATTCTGGCAAAAGCAGGGTAGTGTGACTGTTTCCCAATTTGCTCTGCCACCCCCTCAGTGGTCTGCCTTCTGCAGTTTCTGTGGGATAGGATGACAACGCATCATCATGGTAATACTTTATTCGTTCTACCGCTCAAAAGGACGCTGTGTTGGGCCACCACAGCCATGACACAGCTTTCCCTCCATCCAAGGTCGTCCCGCGCCTCGCAGGCCAAATGCTCCTGGGGAAGACGGCAGTAGCGGTCAATGTGACCACCTGTCCCCTGCTGCCCGCAGGCGGCTGTGCGCGGATGCTCGGAGCGTCCTGGCTTTCTGAGGTGAAGAGTCCCCACGACAGTACATGACCCGGCTCCATCACCGACACCGAGACTGCCCGGCTCTGCCGCGAGGGTCCGGGGAGGCCGAGATTCCCAGGCCCGGGCGGGGCACCCCCGAGTGCCGGGTCTCTTCGGCCTCCCCCCTTGCCCAGCGCCCAGGGCCCAGGGCCACGAGCGGCGCAGAGCGGCACACAACACCTCTCCGTCTCGAGCTCCCGCCCCGTCTCAGCGCCTCCTCAGATGTCACCCGGGGCTCACCAAAAAACGTGTCGAACTGGTACCCTGGTCCACTGCCCCCACCAACGGCCCCAAAACTGCTTTTTCCGCGGATGCCATGAAGTCAGCTGCAGATCTGCCGGCTCCCCCGGCTGGTTTCCCAGGTGACCGCGCCGGGCGGGGAAAACGGCGCACGGGCGGCCCGAGCGAAGAGCGAGAAGCCGCGCGGCTGTGGAACGCTCGGACCGCGCTCCAGGCAGCCCCTTTACCCACGCCGCGCCCGCTCGCCCCGCCCCCTGGCCCAGGCCCCGCCCCACCGCGTTCTCCGCGGCTCGGGGGCGTGGCGGAGGGGGGGTGCTGTCTGCCAGGCCGGCCAATAAGCAAGCGCGGAAGGAAGCCGAGCGCTGCGCCAGTCGGAGGGCGTTGGGACGTCACGGGGGCCTGGCGCGGCGGAGGCGGTGGCCGGAGCCGCAGGTCACGTGAGAGCCCCGGAGCAACTTCCTCGCCAGCCCGCGGCCGCGCTGGGGGCAGTGGCTGGCGGGCAGGCGGTGCCGGCAGAAGAACATACCTCCGCCCTCGCCCGCCGAAAACTCCTAAATTGCAGAACTGCGTGTACCCTCGGGTGGGCTGTGCGGAGCCCGGCGTGCGTCGCTGTGTGGGCCGCCCCGGCCGGCCTTCCCGCGCTGCCCACGCCCCGCCCAGCGCCCCTCCTTCACCCCCCCCCCCAGTGAAGGACGCGCCTAACCTCGTCCACAGGAATTGAGCCTGGTGGGAGCGCCTCGGGGAGCGGGGCGAGCCCCTGTCCTCTGTATGCGTTTCAGGGACAGGGACGCACAAGGTTTTGGGTTGAGCAGTTGAGGAAAACATTTAAAAATCGATCTCGCCATTGGCCAACCAGGCCGAAAAAGCTCCCTGTCCTGACGCGCCCTTGCTCCTCGCTTGGCTCCACGCTGCTCTCCCCTCCTCCACAGGCCGCTTCCGCTCCCTGAATTAACTAACTGCTTTAGGGGGGAGCTTGGTGTGGAGGGAAGGGTTGTCCTTGACCTTGAGTTTACTTTGCCAGGACCGGTTTGAGTCCTGTGTTCTAGGAGCTTTCAAACTTTGAATCAAGATGAGCAAAGACTTTACAAAACTACTTAGGACCTGTGTGGAAGGGTATGTGAGCACATGCATCTTGCTTATATAAATGTATTTTATATACTCATGTATATTAAAAATGCTTCATAGTCAGACTACGACAATAATCCCAGCACTGGGAAACTGAGGTAAAAGGATGGCCAAGTTGAAGGCCAACCTGAAGTACAGAGCAAAACCCTGTCTTGCAAAAATAAGTTTCCTAAACAGTATTTGTGTTTACGCACTATGCATTGTGTAATTCTTACTCTTTATCATTTTTTAAAATACCGATTGAAAACTTAAATTGATGTATGCAATGTGTGAATTATTGAAACTGTCCTACCAACTTGATTTGAAACTGTCTCATTGCTATTTGTTTATGAATAAAATTATGGGAAAAAATAAAGTAAAATACAAAAAGAATACAAAATTGGTCAAAAAAATTTTAAAAAAAGAAAACTTAAATTGATTTTGTAAATCACTATATAGTCGTCTATTTTAAAAACGTTGAACTAGCAAGAGTGGCACACAACTGTATATAAGTGTACCACTGAGACACTGAGGCATGAGGATCAAAATTGCAAATCCAGCTTGGTCATTTTAGCTGACTCAGAATTTAAAAAAAAAATTTTTTTAAAGGTTTGGAGATGTAGTGCGAAGGTCCTGGGTAGGTCCCTAGAACCACACACGCACACATGAAGTATTATAGTACTTCAGATTTTTCACCCATTTCCCAAATTTCTGTGTTTTGGAATGTAATTTCTATTTTCCACTCCTGCCCTAATTGAGACCACCTCACTTGTATATCTGTTTACATAGTTTGATCACACTTGCTCTCGAAACATATTTTTTACACTCGTGTAAGCATCAGATTCTGGTGTTCCAGCCGAAGCCTGCTTGTAGAGATGTTGGACTTGATAACTATTAATAATAAAAGTCTTGCTCTAAGATAGGAGGGCAGGTGAGTCAATATTTCTGAATTTCCTAGAAGAGGAAAAGAGATACAAATATAGGCAAACAAAGAAAGAAACAGGCTGTCTCACCTCTGAAAACTGTAAAAGGCATTAATGGAATAAATGACTGGAGTAAGAATTTCTTTGATTACTGAAGTTAGGAAAAAATGAAGTCACCAAAACTATCATATTAATCTATTAAAAACCAAAAAAGAAAACCCCTAAGCATGTTTGAACTTTCACACACTTTTGACTCTGATTCTAACAGGACAGCAAATTGTTTCTTTACCAGGGTGGTAGGGATTACAGTTCAGTAGTGTAAAAATTAATACAACTAAGTATAAAGGAAAGAATTAAAATAATTGTATTCAAATTACTTTTCCTACAATAGTTTTGTGCCCAAAATCCATTCCTTTCATGAAGACAAAACTGAAAAGCCAAAATATTACTTCAATTTTCAGGAATCACATACATATAGGTTCCTTCTAAGAGACCAGGAAAGGAAGGGGACTGGTCCTAAATACAAAAGTCTAGCTTGGCCCCTCTCAGCTAGACACCCTAAATATTTAAATTCTCATGGATCTATACCTTTTAGAATTGCTCTCATTTGCCCACTCTTTCTCACCTCTTTAAGCGTGCTGCTGGAATCTAAAAATTCTCTATAAATGCAAAAATCACTCTTGACTACCAGTAAAGGAACTGGAATTAATGATGGGACAGTTGGGGCCCAGAAAATGTGAGATACTAGAATGTCAGATTCCTGACATCAAACCTGGAGTTCTTTTACAGCTGGCTGAGGGAATAAAAGTGCAAGGAAATCGGGATGGTGCAGAAAAAGAAAAAGATCAGATGCTGGACCACCAGCCTAAGATCTGATGCCAGAACAAGCAGCCCAAGAAACTGGACTGGAAATCTAAGGACCTTGCTCTGATCTTGACTATGCCATTCAGTCCTTAGTCTTCCTGACCTTGGGTAACTCATTTGTTCTTTGTAAAATAGGGGAAATGTCACTGTCACTGACGTGGATGGGTTAATGGGACATGTAACTGATGTAATGCCTGGGAGAGCGCTGTACAAGAAGCATGGTTCTAGCCAAGTATTATGGCACGTGCCAGTAATCCCAGTACTCCAGGAGGTTGAGGCAGGCGGTTTGCAAATTAAAGCCCTACCTAGGTAATTCTGAGATTTACCAAAACCTATCGAGACAGACAGACAGACAGACAGACAGACAGACAGACAGAAAAGGCAAGATGCAGTTTGACCGTCTTGAGTTTCCATCAAGGAAACCCAGAGGTGAAATTCAGGGCTAAGGTCCTTCCTGCAAATAATTGAAGTAGTTTGAGTCACCTAAAACTCGCTGTGATGATTTCCCACTGGTAGAACAGGAAATCTTAGTTAATTCCCTTTGGACAGTCCCTGGGTGTTTCATTTATTTCTCCTGTCTTACCTGTTCTTGGTTAATATACGTAGAATTTACATGAGAGGAAATCCAACATCTCCCTATAGAAGCTTTTGCTGGTAGTATGACAGATAGCTAAGTTAGGTAGAAATGTTGTAGAGAGTTAGTGGTGTAATGGGCTAACTCACATTTTAGGCTATATGGGTGTAAATCTTGTGCTTT